TTAAAGTAAAATAAAATAGAATAGTAGTAATAGTAGCAGTTATAATAATAATAATATAATAATACAATAATAATAATAACAATAACAACAACAATAACAATAACAATAATAATAAACAAAGCAAGTGATACACTATACAATTGCTCACCACCTGCCGATTGATGCCCAGCCCATCCCCGAGCAGTGATTGCTGCCCCCCAGCCAACTCCCCCAGTTTATGTACTGAGCATGACATCATACGGTATGGCATAGCCCTCTGGCCAGTCTGGGTCAGCTGTCCTGGCTGTGCTCCCTCCCAGCTTCTTGTGCACCTGGCAGAGCATGGGAAGAAGTCCTTGACCAGTATAAACGCTACTTAGCAACAACTAAAACAGCAGTGTGTTCTCAACATTATTCTCATCCTAAATCCAAACCACAGCGCTATTCCAGCTACTAGGAAGAAAATTAACTCTATCCCAGCTGAAACCAGAACAGACTGCAGAATAAAGATGACTTTGACCTGTCCATTTCTATGATAGAATGTGCTAGTATTATTATCCTATTTTAGTAAGTTGGGAAAAGAATGAAGGTGTGCAGCAACCTATTAATGGTGACAGAGCACTACAACTGCAGCAAGCCATGAGCCATCCAGCCATCCTCCACATCCCTCAAAACAGAAATGACATGTAAAAGACACAACATGCTCTATTAATCCCTACTGTGCATATTACCATTCATGCAGGCACCAAGCTGTGCACCTGGGGTGCCTTATTTGACTTTCTTTACTTTCACTTCGTATTTCTATTTACTGTTATCATGCTGTTAAAATAAACAAGTAATATGCAAATTTTATGGAAGAGAATATACAAAAACATGTTTAAGATAAGTAGAGATTAATATTTAACTAGACAGATGGACTAAGCAATAGGACAAGTAGTACAGCTTGGCATCATAAAAGCAGTTACCTGTAAAATAACAGAAATTAATGGCAACAAAACCAGTAAGTTACAAAGAACTGCTGAAGAGCATAAGAACCTGAACCTTACTGGTTCAGAGAAAGGTTCTATACACTGCAGAAGCTCTGCATGCTGCAGAGCAATGCTGTGGTGCCCAGCACCTCCTTTTCGGCAGCTCATAAACTAGTGCAGCACATGGTGTGGTGGGGCAACCCAAGGATGAGCTGTTCTTAGGGCCCTGCTAGCCCTACATGTGCACCTCATGTGCACCCAGATAACAAATGTACTCAACAGGTGAGGGTGCCTCGAAAACACTATCAAGGTCCCTGAAGCACAGCAATGACCCCCACACAGCAGGGATGAAGCAGAGTGAAAACACTGCCAACATGCACTGCACTCAGGTTGCATCCAAAGGGGAAAGTGCACCAATATCTAAAGCAGACCAAAGTACTGAAAAGGTGTTTCAACTTTGGCTTCCCATCAAGCCACCTGCGGTGATGAAGCCTGCAGAAAAGACCAACATAAGCACTGTTCCCCCAGTTGCTTATCATAAGATAAGCAAAGCCATCGTACACCCTGGGAGAGCTGTTCAGAGCTCTACATACTTATCAGCATAAAAACTTATCATTGCATGGTGACAGCCATTATAAAACGTCACGGCCAACACTCTACACAGGAGATGATTAAATATTCTTCATGTCTCGTTCTGGTAGAGTGTGTGACTATAGGGCTTTCCAATGAGTCTGTTAACCTGCTTGCCTCAATGCATCCCTGAACAGTCAGAAGTGGAAGATGGAAAGTTGAGAAGAACTAAGAGATTATACCCTGGGAAAACAAAACAAAACAAAACACAAAACAAAACAAAATGGCCAGAAGCCAGAATGCTTCAGGGAACAGTGAGAACAGAGGACACAGAGATGACTCTTACCTCCTAATACTCTCCCACAGCCTCCAACTGATTTCAGACCCTGAACCTGTTCTAGTTTGCCAGTCTAGTAACCAGTAATGGCTCTCGCTTGCAGGTAGCTGTCCACTTTTTGAATCTGGGTAAGTCTCTTCCCTGCACAATGTTCCTCAGAAGAAACCCACAGGCCTTCAATTCATTCCACAAAGAACCACAAACTTGTGTTTGTTTTGAACCTTGGCCTCAGGAAATTCAGCTGATGCCTCCTACCTCTTGCATCAGAAAAAGCAACAAATGCCTACTAACTCTCCCTGTGACATCCACGATTTTGCAGAACTTTCTGATCAACCCTCCAAGTCATCTCTTCTCTAAACTTCAAATGCACAAAAGCCATTTCATACTTCCACTCATCCTTGACTGCAAGCTCTCAGCCTTCTCTAGTTCTCATCCCCTCATCTCAAGCAGGATGTATTGCAACTGTACCTAGTCTTCAATACGCACGCAAATTCTGGATTTATGCTGTGGTAGCACAGTGGTCTTCTCTGCTTTGTTCTCTGTTCCTTTCATAATAATTCCTGATATTTTATTTACCTTTTTGGCTCCTGATGAACTACCTATTGTAATCCTCAGATCTTGGTCCTGAGCGATCATGTCCAGCACAGAGCCCATCCTTTCAGGTGTGTAGAGCTCAGACTGGTTTTCCTCATGTGCATCGCTCAGTATTTACCAACACTGATTTTCATCTGCCATTCTATTTATGTTCCCTGTGGGAGTATATTAAATGGCACACATCACAATGTCTACAGCAGTGAGGCCAAGGACCAACGAAAAAGAGAAAAAGAGACATAAATCTCATTCACTACCCAGACCTGATTCACTGACGGATCATGTCCATCCTATGCAGTGAATGAGACAGTAGTCCACTGGGGAAAAAAGGCATTATTTTAAAAAAACACATAATTATGATAACACAAATATGGGGAAGAAATAAAATTATTTGAATTGCCCAAATTTGAACTGCATGACTCTGCAACTTTAGTACCATCTCTACCATGATTAATTGCATCAAGTTACAAAATAGGTGATTCAGCTGTTTAAGCTCTGGTTTGTAGCCTTGAATTTTCATATTGATTACAGGTGGGCAGTCTTGCTCCAGTTCAGTCTCCTGAGACTCCCCACCACACACTTTTCTTGTCAGATTTGCTGCAGAACCTTCTTGTTTTTTACATCACCCAGGAGAATGACTTTTTATGCAGAACTAACTTGAACAGCAACACAAAAAAGTACTTAAGAATATTAGGGATGTTGTTTTTTCCTTTTTCAATATCCCCCCACTTTGATATTCCTTCAATTGACTGATTTAATTACTTGTAGATTTTATTTTCTCTCATACTTCAATACTACAAATATTGAAAAGCTGTGCTTTTAACAATACAAAAGTGGTAATTTTTAATTGAATTGGTCTGAGTGGGAAAAAACAGTATTTTTTACTCTTACTGCATTTTTTGAACTATTTGTAAACATACTGGAATTAATTCATAATGCAAAATGTGTTGCTGATTCCTTGGCAGTGTCTGATTCCAAAGGCAGAGGATATTCATAATTTCAAAAAAAATTTACTAAATACGTATTTATGACAGGTTCATGAAGTTCCTAAAACTGAACATTACTCTCTTGTAATCATCTAAAGATCACAGGAAGTACACAAGAGTAACAGGAGCACTGATCCATGTTTATCCAGAAATTGTCTTCTCATGATGCCTACTCACTCATCAAGCAAATGACCCCAACTTTAGACACAGTGGATACAAAATCCACTGAAATCAATGGTGACAATTTACTGACTTGCATAGAATTTAACGAGTGATTTTCAGACTAGAGTCTTCAAAGCAGTTTCTTGATATTCCAACAGTTATGACGGAAAAGAGGCAGGTGCTAATTTACAGTTGGACTATACTTTGTCATACATTATCAAAATGAACTGTGAGTTTGAGTGTGTCAATGAAAAGTCAAAGTGATTTTGTGGACTTCAAAAATGTTGCTTTTTCTCTGTAACATGACCTAGGACAGGACTCAGTTAATGGAAGATATTAGTATGTCAAAGGGTACACAGCAAGACAGCAAGCAAATTCAAAACTTAAATCAATTATTTTAAGTTGCACTAAATACCTCCAGTAAGTAGACAACATAGCTGCTTTCCAAGGAATATACAGTACACACTTGCAATAATTTAATTAAGTACAACTGCTCTTACGTGTACCAACCCTTGACATAAAAAGGCTCATTTTCAAAATAAGATCTTAAGTTCTAAGTGAATACAAAAAATAGAAACAAGAAAGATATGATCTAGATGTCTAGCAGATTACATATATGTAAAATATTTATCTTTCAGTAATAGGTTGACCCAGAAATATTAAGGACAGTATACAACAATTCAACTAATAGATGATGAACTGAAAATGTGGAGTGATAAATATAATTCTGATTTAAGTCAGCAAGAAAAGCTATCATTGGTTTATACCATGATAGTTCAAAATCTCACTGAATAGTTTGGCAGTCTCCTTAGAGTCCACAGAACAAAGGCACAAAGCTCACAGGAGTTTCTTGAAGCTTTGTGGTATAGTATGCAGTCCTCACTTTTTAGGTTTCATATTTTGTTCTAAAAGATATTTCTGAGTACATTTTCATCACTTCCTTCTTTCAGGTAGACATGGTGATGGTTGCTGGCAACTCCCCAGTACAGGGTGGTATATAAACTGCCTAAAAGATGATGTTACTCTTTGGTGACATAAATTGGTTCATTAGCTGAAATTTCCAGAGGGCCACAGAAGGAAATACAACACAGTGGATGTACCTCAACAGTTTGTCTTAAGCTGTTTTAGTCACTCTTAGGGATAAACTTCACTTTCAATTAAATGAGTTATGTTACAAATATTTTTATAATGGCCACATAACCGGACGCCAAGGCTCCAGTTATCAGTGAATGCTGTACTGCAATGTCCACACAAAGGGCAGGATTCCAGACTCAAAACACCAGCAGATTAAAGTAACAAATCAGTGGCTATTTAGGATTCAGGTATGTATGTTCTTAGGAAATATTTACCTTTTGAGACCTACGTATCTTATTGTTATCTCTCTTTTGTACAGCACATTTCTCTCACCTGGTGGACTCCCATGCCCTGCCGCAGCTGTAGCAATAGCAAAAGCAGAAGCAGGAGAAACCGAACAGTGGCTATTGTCAGCAGTTTGTACTGTAAAGGGAACAAACAGAGAAAAGTTAACAACTTCTACATACTTTTCATATTTTTCAAGTTAAGCAACAATAATACTTAAAATCTTCACTAATGTTTATACGTGTGACCATTTGATGTTTTCATTGCCAGAGGACTTTATACTAAGGCAAATAAAAATATCACAATCATATTTGTGACTTAAGTTTTATTTCCAGGTCGGTGTAATTAATGTTGCTATGGAAAAAATTGTCTAAGGCACCGCCAAGGTGAGGAACAAGCAGTAACCAAACAGAAAAACAAAAAAAAAGTGACAAAAACAATGGTGTAGAAAACTAACCTAAACAAAAAAATCATGTTAGACAACTAAGCATATTAATCAACTTCTGATAACTATAGTCAAATATTTTCTCAGGTCACTGCCTAGGCTGAGTAGAGTTTGGCACAATTTATCAAACTTTCACTATAAGGAGTGCTGTGAACGTTGCTTCTGACTAGTACTTAGATAATAGAGCACTGTTCCCCCCAGTTTCCAGCTCCCAAATCTTGACATCTCACCATAAATGTCCCCAATAACTGAAGATTAGCATTGGATGAAAATTAAAGTGTCTCAGCAACTTATTAACAGTTGAGAAGTCTCTGCTCTGGTTTTGGTGTTATAATCCCAGGCATGAAATAACTGCCTAGAAATCTGGCTTTCATGAGATGGCAGCATTTTAAGCGTTCATGGACGTAGCTCACAGCTCTGCTAATGATTTCAAAGAGCCATGTGAGAGCTATTTGAGGAGCTCCAGCTCTCACTTTTCCTCTTCAATTGAGCAGTTTATTCAAATTTTGGAACGAATAATGTGACTCCATCTGTATATGTTCAGTGTTATACAAAGAAACAGACACAGTCACTCCCCATTGACAATAATGGGTGTTGTGTATTTCATGATTACATATGGTGCCCAAAATATGTCCCCTTAGTAGCTGAAAAAAAATCTGTCAAGGTCTTGAGAGTTTTGTGAGACTAGGACTGATTCAATATTAGCCTTGAACTTGCGCACATCCTGCTCAAGCTATTTAAGAACATTTCATCATACCGAAGTCCCAACATGCTTCCAAGTCTCATTACCACACAAATTAACCAGCATAATTCACATTCTAACGGCTTTTTTTTAATACATGAGAAATAAGGAAAATACAAGCAAAACACATTATTCAAACATTATTCTTTTTTAATATCCTGCAGGGATTACAGCTACAGTATTCAACTCTTTAAAGGGACTGATGGAGGCAAGAAATATCAGGTTCTTACCTCCTGGCTGGCGATAGCGGAGATGACGTGGTGTTGAAGGGGATCTACATGGGGAAAGCTCTGTGGTATCCACTGCTGAAGTGCTTTCAGGAATTGTCCGGTCCACTGACACAGATTCTAGAACTGCTGCTTTAAAAGAGAATAAATGTTAATACTGGGATGATCATTCATAATTTACAACTTTTTAATTTATATTATGTTATGTATTACAAAAATAAATATGTAACAACTTATATTAATTAATGGATCAATAATTCTATTCTATTCTATTCTATTCTATTCTATGCTATGCTATGCTATGCTATGCTATGTTATGTTATCCTGTTCTATCCTATCCTATTCTATTCTATTCTATTCTATTCTTTTCTATTAATGTAATTATAAAGTACAAATGTTCTTTGAAACTATCAAGAGGCCATAGGGAACTACAGTATGGAGCTCTAACGTGCTTTTTTTAAAGCAGAGAGTGTAGTCAGATTGGTTTGTCTTAGATATGGAGTGCCTCTGCAGAGATTATGGAGTATGTGAGCGATTCAGGACTCTCAGTTTACAAACATCAAAAGACAGAAAGTCTGCAAATTATCAACTTTGAACAATCTGAACTGTACTGCATTGATAAAAAAGAATATGTATATCAAAGGGGGCTTCACTGAAAGGTAATGTTTAAAAAATGGCCATTAATTAATAGCACTTAATACCAGTGTTTCAATACCAACCTAATACCACTAAATATTATCTAACACAAAGTTGTTTACATTTAATTTGTGGTTTATAGTTGTTTTAAATAGTACTGCTTCTGGACCTTGCCATGAAACTTTTGCATTAAGAAGACTCAGCAATAATTATCCTCCGGGTGGAGTTAAAGGACTGGGAAAGTTTTGTACCAACGACATATAGCCACGCAAAAGCTCATAAATAAAGAACTTGGTGAAAACCAGCAAGTTGTCAGTTTTAAAAATAGCTTGGATAAGACTGCACTTTAAGTCAGCAAAATATGCAGTGAAATACACATGTAATAAGGATACTTGAACTCATAGGTTTTATATGAGCTAGGGAAAATAATCCCTGTTGGATAACTATGTGTAATCAAAAACTGCCCAATAAAATCGCCAAACAGCACTGGAGAGCAGATTACTCTATGGAGGAGTTCTTCTGTAAGAAGTATAAAAAAGGAATGGAAGAAATACTACTTCCAAAATGAGGGAAAACAAGCTGATAAAATATATCCTATATTTGATATGAATGACAACTGCTCCTGCAGCATAAGCACTGTGTATATAAAAATATATATAAAAAAAAAACTTTGGAAAACAAAAACTTTGAAAGCAAACAACAACTTTGGAAGTGGGCAAAGAAGGTGGAAATTCCAGGATGTAAATAGACAACATGCAAGGAGAACAACAACAACCACCATAATAATATGTCCTGGAGAACAGAATTTGTATGGTTATATTGGATTTAGAGTAGGGCATAGTTGTTTTCTTGGAAAACAAGCACCAGAGCAACACTATTGGCCATAATGGGGTGGTGGGTCCTGATTAAGTAGAACTGGTCTCCTTACCAAGAAAACTTCAGAAACAAAGAAATGCATTATGTATGATAGGAAACGTGCAGATTAGCATTTTGTAGTTCTCCTACCACTCATTTCCATTCTCCTTGTGAGATTTCTTTTTAAACTTAGTACTCCTCCTCAACATGCTATATGCAGCTAGGTGACAAAAGGACTTTCCCCCACAGAACAGAGCTATCTAGCTGCAAATTCCTACAAACTGAGTGCAAACTGTTCAGCATGAGATCCCCAAAGGGACTGGAGACACTGCACAGACAGCAATTTAGCATTTATACGAGATTCTTGCCATTTCCAAATGTTCCTCATGCTGCCCAGATGGCACTTCCAGCCTTGACAGACTGGAATGCAAAATCTGAACACCTCTGCAACAATGCCTAGTGCTAACACTAGGCCAGAACAACCTATTCTCTACTAGTTTACTTTACAATGTATAGTAAAAAAAGTTACACCTACTGCAGACTGCAGTTACCTGTGTACAATTAATTTTAATGCATGGCCTATATTTTGGGACATGCTGTGCTATCACATTGATGTGAATGTGGTTACACTAGTGCACAAGAAGAATTTGCCCAACTCTACATAGTAAATACTAGATTTTATATACATAAGTAGTCTGTTATGCTATTCACTTAAAAACATCCAGCATACTGAAAAGTAACGACTCAGTATCACAGCCAACCAGCATTTTACAAAAGCATAAAGCATGGGCAAGCATAGATTCTTATAATGCTAAGGTGGCTAACTTTCCTGTTAAAAAGATTTTTTTGCTAAACAATAGACTACATTCTGTAAAAACAATCCCTCTGCATAATACGACATCGAATTTCTTACCAGGGCGCTTATTTCAATTCATCAGTAAGGAGTAAACATAATGCCTCAATCATATTTTTCTTAGTTTATGTTTGGTAATCTTTTTCTTCCTTCCGCTTGGGTTATATCAATTTTCATTGTTACAGTACTTACAAGTAAAATTGAGCTACATTTTGCTCAGATTTACAGTTCAAATTCCTCAAATTGTAAGTCAGGACATGTAAGACCATTTCTAAACATGAATTTTAGGAATAAAATAGCGTTTTTTTATTTCCTTATCTTTCGTGTAATATAACAACAATACAAAAAATTACTATATACTTCTATTTTAATTCAGAGGACCATCCCTCCATCCCAAAGAGCAACGAGAAATAAGCACGCATGTATGCATCCTATGAGATTAGAGCTACTTGCTTGCTTTGCCATCTGTAAATACAATGATCCCATTCTAGATGCCCACACTGAGGTTTACATCAACGAACTTTAGCCCTCTGGAAGTAGTATCTATTCCAAGGTGCCTTACGTAATCCACAGAGGAAAAAACAGGCATTTGCACGGGAGCAATTAATCTATTTTAGACATCTACCATCTGGATGGATAACAGCCAGGTGGTATGAATCTCACCAATGTACCAAGTGCATCACAGAAATTATTTGTTTGGATTAGTGAGGAAATCTTTCTGGAAAACTAGCCATGTTATGTAAACATGTTAAAGCTGTTAGGTCTTTACATCCCTATTTCATTTTAACTTAATATTTTACTTCCTGTAGTAACAGTACAACTCCAAAATCTTTCACCTTAGGAAACACAACTATCATCAAATATTTCCTTCTGCCTTTCTCTCCTTAACACTCTGCTGAAGTGAAAACAGACAAGACCATTCTGCCATACTGCAATCCCTACAAAGAAGCAACAAAGCGTTGGAGACAGACAATGCATCACAGCTTCTACTCGAGAAGAAACAGAAAGCAGAGTATTTGGTTTCACAACACGACTTATGGTGATCAGGAGAAAAAAAAAGACATGAGAAAAAACTTCTCAGCAGTAATCTGATAAAAGTCAAGCCTACATTAGAGACTACCTTATTTATCAAAAGTAACATTCAGTATTTTGTGGGTATATAATACCTCTTCGAATGCTTCTCCTCAGCTTGTTACAGAGGTCAACACGAGGGTTCTCCAAGCTGTCCTCTATGGAGCCAGGGCTTTGCTCAGGAGAGGAGGGCCCTTTGCTAAGGTCCAGCGGTACTTTGCTACCTGTTGGTGGTGGGGAGGTGGCCGGGCTGTAGGTCGAGGTAGGACTGCTTGCCACAGATGAAGTAGAGAGGTCAAGGGCACCAATCCTTGAATTCAGTGGTGAGGTCAACGAGAGTTTTCGGGTTCTGACAGGTGAGGAAGTTCTGGAAAGTGACAATGGAGGAGGAGAAGAAAACTTGCGACAGAGATGTGGTGACTTCCCATCAGCCAGGTACTCTCCTCTGTTGTTTTGACTGGTGGCAAAGAATAACTCCAAAGACCTGAGTGAAAGAAAGAAAAAAAAATCAACAGATAATAACAAGTGCCGAACAGATTTAAGTGAAAACACTTACAGGCAAATTTTGTGCAAATCTGCATGGCACTGCAAAATCTATATGACACTCAGTCCTCAAAGCCTGGGCAGAAAGTTGAGACAGACTTATCTAAAAACTTACGTTCTATTTACAAAGGAAGAACTTTCTTCTTAAATTATTCATATAACAAAAAAACATGGTAAAAACCAAACAAACAAATGACGCCATGGTAATTCTGTAAAGAAATCTATGATAGAAGGAAAAAACCCTAGAGCTCACCTGACAGGAATGGAAGTGAAGGGCCGTCTGTATATGTCTGAAAGTTTTTCCAGTACAACAGCTGCAGTAGTAAATATGCGGTAAGTATGTAGGAACGTATTCAGGAAATCAATACTTAGAAATCGCAAGTCTGTTAGCCGCTCCAAAAGGCGCTCGACACTTGCATAACGGATTTGGGGTACTTTGCAGGAATTCAGTGTTTTGCTGAAGCAGATATCAATGTCATCTCTATGAAGACGAGCATCAGATCTACACAAAAATTAAATTTAGAACATTTTACCAAAGAGGAAGAGTGTTATGGTACAGTAGTGATATCACTTTAGCTGCTCCTGTCAACAGAGAATCAGCAAATATAGATCCATTCTTGTATTTCATCAACACGAGAAAACTCTTAATTTCTGGTGAAACCTGCTTCCATTCAGTTACATTTTGTGTCATAACTAAGGACATTTAAATTTTATTTTTGGCAAATATTTAACTTATATTTCAAAATACAAGAAATCGTTAATGAAACCTAAATTTCTGAAATTAAACAGGAGGCAGAATTGTCCCCTCTTGTCTCTTTCAGGCTGTTGTGGCCTGTAGGGCTATAGTACAAGAAGCTCACTATAGAATAATTGTGGACTGATTGCACTTTTTTCTTGCTTTATATAAAACAATTTAATGGACTCCAGCAAGAGACAGCAAAATTAACCCCTTAGCTAAGGTTAAGACTCACTTTTAAGCCCTCAGGCTCCAAGAATTTATTTATTTTTTTAAAAAGTAAATGGGAACAGCATGAAAAATTTCAAAGCAGAAACCAGGGGCTTTGTTGCAGTAAAAAATTTGGGACTAAATTTTCTTTAGACTTCAAAACAAAAATTAATCATTTACATAACCCTACTCATGATGTTTTTTTTCCAAATTCATTCTTGCTTAATTTTATCTAGTTGAAGGCTTAGTTCGTAAAAAAATGGGATGGATACTAAGTAATGCATCTTTCAATACTGCCTGATCTTTTCAGTAAAAATGTTTGGATTTTCTCAGAATACAGCATCCAGATATTCTACACTGCATTACATAAAAAAAAAAAAAAATCACCAAAAAAGTCTTCTTTCTTAAATTGGGTCCTCAGAAAAGTGGCCATTTTTTTTAATTTAATCCAAAGACACGTGACTCTGAAACTTGTGTGCTAAAAATCAGATGAGTAAAAGAAAGAGAACACCAAATTTGTGTCTGTTGTTAAGATCCTGTATGTTTTTTAGAATTAAGATTTCTTTTTCTTGACATTGGGATTAAGACCTTGCTGTACTCTACAATTTGAAAACAGGTGAACATATTGTTAACATTCAACAGGTAACAGGAATGTTTACACACTGGAGAGCTGGAATACAACTGAAGACACTAAAATGCCTTCTTTCCATGTATGTGCCCTAACAGTCATAGAATCATAGAATCATAGAATCGCTTGGGCTGGAAGGGACCTTAAATATCATCTAACTCCAACCCCCCTGCCATGGGCAGGGACACCACCCACTAGACCAGGTTGCTCAGGGCACCATCCAACCTGGCCTTGAACACTACTAGGGATGGGACAAATTGTTCCAGTGCCTCACCACCCTCTGAGTAAAGAATTTTTTCCCAACATCTAACCTAAATCTCCCCTCTTTCAGTTTGAAACCATTCTCCCTTGTCCTATCGCTGTCTGCCCTTATGAAGAGTCTGTAAACAGTGTATTCACAGATGTTATCTCTTTTTCATTTCTAAACATATATAAAGAGAGAAGAGGCAACAGTTACAAAACAGGCATTTGAGAAACCTTCATGTACAGACTACATCCAAGAGAGAAATGGCCTAGTGACAGATAACAGTAAGAAAATAAATATTTATATTTTTATCCCTGTGTTCTATTCCTTAATATTTATATTGGATAATAGTAGGTAAAACTCATGTAAATACAGACCTGTAGAGGATCCAAGAGGTAAAATTGTGTTAGAAATTTGGAATCATATACTGAAAATTGCTGTCTACAAATAAAAATTACTTACTACAATAAATGACTGAAAGAATCCAAGGGTGAAGGAAGCAGGCTTATGAATAATGATGTTACCTTGATGTGATCAGTTAAAACTATGAAAGAAATTTTTTTTTCTCAGAAATAAGAGAAACAAAGAGAAGAAAAATTTTGGCTAATATAACAAAATACCTTGGAAAATGATACTTGTCTTCATTCACCTAAATTTTTAAGACATTTTAAAATATATTCAATAAAATTATGAGTGATATGACAGAGAAAATCTAACAGAAAATAAAATTATTCATCTGAAGCACAACTGAAGGCAACTTCGCAAATAATAGAAAAATCTGAGCTGTGATCTTTTACAGTCCAATACTGAGAATTGAGAGTTCACCATTTTGAGTCATCCCTACCATTTCAAGAAAAAGATTTGAAAAGATACATTTTGGGATGTAGAATTAATTCCATTTAACAAAAACAGGGGAAAAATAAATTAAATGGTGGTATTTTCCAAATACACACTTTATTTTGTGAAAAGTTTTATTAAAATAACAGCAAGCTATTTTGTTCACTGGGAAGAAAATGCTGCACTTACTTGATCATATGTGGCACCGTGACTTTTGAGTTTTCTTCAAACACTATGGTCATTAAACCATTGCACCTTATATTATCAATGCACTGTGAAAATAAATATTGAGAACTGTTAAAAAAACACAGGGTAAGGCGACTTACTTCCACACTTTTCATATCACTGTAAGCTTAAAGCATAACTTTTACAGGGATGGACTGATTGGTAAAAGGTATTTTCAGAAATGAAAAGCAGTGATGCAAGAATTATAGTGGACATGCTTCACTAGTCTTCTTCCTTTGATTTGTACATCTGCAAGTCCACGTGCCTTTACCAGCACACTCAGGGTATTCAGCTCAGCATTTTTTTTTCCACATGAATAAGTATTTTGAGTTGGAAGTGAAATTTCCTTTGATGTTCCTTTGAAACGGAACAAAATTAAATATCTCTAGCATTTCCTGAATGAGCATTAAGCTTGAAAAATCAATACTGCAAGGAAGTTAGAATACATAAACACAAACACAAACAGATACACTAATACCTTAACTTTTCCACTGTGCAAAAAGACCAAAGAGAAATATAAACAGTTTCTAGACACACACTTGTAAAAACAAATGTAAGCAGTACTGTTATTGTGAAACATAGCTATGAAGATGCTGTTGAAGGAGTTCCTTGCAAAGTCTTGTAGAAATGTTTTGGGTTAGGCATTAGAAGCTGGAAAGACTTCTGGGACATGGTCACAGCAGATATTGCTTTAGAAATTACAAGCTATCCTGTGGCCAGTAGAAGTTTACAAACTAGGGGTGCATAGGCTGTTCTTCAAGCCTCAAAGCAGCTCAGCACTGGCAGCGCATAGGGGTAGCTTGAAGTCATTTGTACACCATTATCTTCTGGTTTGTACTTTTATATAGTTAACACAGCACCACAAGCCTTGCTCTTGGAAGTCAGCAGAGAGTCTAGTCTGCTAGTAGATTAGGCTTATATGGTCTGCAACAAACACCCCCTACCTAACACTACAGGATTCATCTTCTAGTTTTATTCATCATGTATCATACATACAAAAAATCATACATCATAAAAAATATGTTACGGTATTTCTTTACTTCAATAAAAAGGAGCTTCCAAAATTATCATACACATTTACACTGACTTTGAGAATAAAAATAGTCTGCTGCCTTTGGAACACCTCATAGCAAAATAATGACTGATGTTAGATTGGTCAAACAAGATAATCAGAGGCCTCTTCAGGGTTAAAATATGTCTACATAGCTATACATTTAAAATATGATCCATGTAGCTGTATGTGGTTTTAAATTCAGGTATTTATTTGAAAAGTGCAGTTGTAACAATTCACATTATGATTTTATCAAACCATTATCTAAAAGCACTGAGAAAAACACATCTAATAAAAATACATGATTTCCCCCATGTGAATTTCAAATGTTGCAAAGAAGGCCTTAGCACCAATCATAAAACTGCCTGAGGTAATTCAGCACTGTTATCCTTAGTCTGCATAGGCCTAGCATTTATCACCTCCTGACAGATACTATCATTCTAGCTAAGGAATGACTGTAATGGGCATTTAGGGCCGAAGGACAACAAGCTCAGACTAGAAGACAGGAGGCTTCTTCAGCATTAACAAAAAGCATGCATTTTTTGTAAGAAGTATATGGTTTGTATGAAAGGAATATAAATTCAAGAAGCCTCACAAGGAATGTATAGACAAATATGACTTCTATGTCATATGCATATATAATTTAATAAGATGCAGAACTCTGGATACCAACACTAATGCTGTGAGTGAACACTAACTACATGTATACTTGTTTTTACTTGCAAACACAGGAGAACACATATTTACTAAAAAAATACTTTATATATGCCCTTTTTGTTAGGATAGTTCCTATGCTCTCCTTGAGGGTTCTAGCCATGGTTAAAAAGAAAAAAAATACTTCTGAGCAGGAGATTCAGTAATTTTTTATGGCAAGGTTTCTGCTGGGAATGGGCTTAGTCAGAAACACAATTTGGTTTTCAAGAGACAAGTGGTCTCCAAATTGTTTAGAACTTCTCATGCGTTATCCAACTTTTCACCCCAAATTTACTTTGTCCAGCAGAAGACAGGTAGCATGCTTCTGGCATTACTTTCTTCTTTCTTGCTCTCCAGATTGACCATAAGCACTAGGTCAACTGACTCGATTGCTACTTGTAAACAGTGATACCAGTTCATGCCCTAAATGCCTGTACAGTCTACACAGCATCTTGCACCCCTTCTTACTCCTTTTTTCTTTTAAGCTGCTGCTGCTTATCCCCTCAACATCTCTGTCTTCCTGTCCTTTGTAAGGCTGGAGAAGCTTTTACAGCCTCACAATGCTAATAAATCTCAGGTTTCTCAGATTTTCACTGATAAGCTGCTGTTAATTGTTGGCTGCATATCTCTTCAGAATACTGCTGTCTTCAAAAGCTAGGAGATCTCCCCCCCTCAAAGAGGGGCTTTCTCAAGTGAGAAAGCCTTGTTACTGTTTTTCCCTGGCAGTCTAGCCAACCCTTTACTCTCTCAGCTGTAGGCAGCTAGTCATGTTTACCTCTGCCTTGCAAGACACTTCCAAGCTTTGCAGGCAGTCAGCTGTGAAGCTTTTCAGCTCTTTCCGTAACACCATGCTAGCATGGTTTGGAGGAGAAGACCTGACCTTTGGAGGCAGACCCAAACTCTGATCGTTAGTCTACATGGACTGCAGATGACTTTCTCATGTAAATTCATTATTATTTAAGCTATGAATGGATTTATTCGTGGGCGTCCCATGTTCCAGTACAGTTCTTTAATGCTCTTTCCATCCCAGCAAATAATTCCAATACTTTTACATGTCAATGAAACAACATAATTCACTGAAAATCCATTTTGTAAAAAATTCTCCAACCAGGTCTGTCTGTAAGATCTGCATATACCTAGTTGCAGTGAGACCAAAGTTCTCAGCTCATACCATATTCTTAGATTTTTATCCCCATTTTTTTTGTTCCTTTAAAAAAGTTAGTCCAGAAGAAAGTAACTCAGAATGCTTATTTTTAAGCAATTTCTACTCATTATGATAATTCACCTGGAGATGTTGCCAGCAATGGTAGCATCTTTAGAAATCCATCAAATTCCACACTGATACTTGTCTAATCAACTATTTCTCTTGAAATTAATACAGGATAGGACTCAAATTCAGAACTATGAGAAATCTACGTACTTGTTGGATGCATGCATAAACAAAATAGCAACAGCCTAAATTCACATCTGGTTAGTTGAAAGTTCAGATTTTTGATAGTGCATTCAACTTCTTTCCCCAAATAGATTCTGATAAAAGTTTGTCTACTATGTTTTTAGCCAAAAGCACCAAAAAAAAAATTTACCCCTGGCATTAAAGTATTTTAAAACACCATTTTTCTTCATTCACAATAAAGACAGTTCCTGCAGACTGTCAGAATGCTTAGAAACTATTTATAATGGCTTTTCAGTATTCTTTTTCATGGAAAATAGAGTTTATCTCATTTTCTCACTGCATGGGATATGATATTGATGTAATATGGTATTATTTTCACTCAGGATTCTCAGGTGTTTTTTGATCTGTATGAAAGTTATGAACAAACAAGTACTATCCTTCTTCTTAAATTAAAATACATATCTGGATGGGCTCTCCTTAGACATAAAAATGTCTACCATTAGTATTATGTTTGTCAACTGACAATTTTGTATTTTATATCCCATCTCTCTCATTGAGAAACACATTTCACCAATGACTCAAATGCAAAGACAGAATTTTGAGGAAAACAGGTAACACGAAGGGTTTTTCATACACATCACAGCAAATCAGCCCTCAAAAAATCAACGTCACTCTCTTGGATTAGTTTTCAGAAATACAGAATAAACTAAGATCTCAATACAAACAAGATAAAGAATACATTAAGCTACCTGACTTATATCACTTGTCCACGCAGCTTTTTCCTGTCGTGATGGGGCTAAAAGGACAACAGTAAAAGGAGGAGCATCCGTAGGTTCAACTACAAGCTTGAAATCAAGATGTCCAAACACTTGGCCAGAACCTTTTGCTTTATAACCACGGGGGGGGGGGAAAAAGTCAAAATGTGAGATTTCACACTATAAAACAAAGAAAATAATGGTTTAATTTAAAATGGAAGTTGGTTTAATACATCTCTCTGACAAAGAGCAAATCTAATTGGGGATCCAAAACTGATTTTGTTTTTCACATACGCTAAATACAAAAAAAGTTACAAACATGCAATAGCAGGAGTCCCTATAAATTATTTTTAAAGATGCCAAATGAGGCTAAAGTCCTTCTAACACTTCAACACTGACATACTCTCAGCATACTAGAAGTATCACTGAAAGTAATGGAATACTTTCACAGTTCAAGTGCAAAACTTGCCTAAAACTGCAGGATGGAAGCCAAAATGAGTAACAATAAAATCAGCCTGGGAATGTGTTTTGTTGTTTCATTTGAACAAACTGGCAGTCAAGATTTGTAGGGAATCCAAGACAAAAGCTCGCCACTAATTCTGCCAACTCACTCAATCCCCATGTATTTAAGAAACCCAATTATCTGCTTCTTCTTTTAAGGCATATTTTTTTCTTTCCGAGATTCTTGGGGTGAACTTGTATACAAAAGTCGGCAAATAATTTGTCACATTCCTTCAGCCAGTCTACTTGAAAATCCTATGTGGAATGTCAATAGCAAGAACATAACAAAACAAACCCTTACCCAAGCCAACGTGCCCATTATTAAAACATCTGTTCTACTGAATCAGTGTAACACTGTATTCCTCTGCTTTCATGAAAGGGGAGGACATATCAATTTGCTCTTATGAAAAATAAACAAAGGGTACCAATTTTAAGAAACCAGAAATTGTAATTACTACAAATAGCTGAATGTAACTTACAATCATCATCACTCGCGTCTGTCTCCTCAATCAGCGTGCACTCTATTAAAGACAGAACACCTCCTGTCTATGAAAACAAAGCACATTTTTCACAAATTTTGACATTCGTTCCCATTGTTATTATAGTTATTTTTAAACTCTGATATATCTTACTTTAAGATTTTATATTACGTAGAGCTCTTAGGAAGATACATCAATTTCATGATGCACATTTTTCCTCAAGAACTAAAACCAGATAATTAAATATAACATTTTTCTTAATCCAACAAATCAGTAATATACTCAAATGTAAAAGATTTCTTTCGTTTTTACCACGCTATAATTTATCTCACATACAGACTTGTTCACAAGTTTCAAAAAAGGTAACTAGAATTTCATCTTCTCTTGAATTTAAATCAAATACATACAAGATTTTTTTAAAAGTTCAGTTATACTCTATTTACATTGCAAAATACTTGAACTATTTAAGGGGTGCAAAGTGAGAAAGCATACAAACAGTCTTAATAACACCTCAGAAATGTCTTTGTCAAATTAAAATTCTACTCAGTATAACCCACTCTGTAAACTACCAATCTCTCTTTCTTCACAAGTCTACACTATGAAAGCCTGATTCCCAACAAATAAGAGTGTTCTTAGAACAGCTTTCAGTTTAAAAGAATGTGCTGGTCAGGAAAACAGAATTGACTTTTAAAATTAATTTTATTAGAGCTCTGGAAATTATTCTTTGGTAATTCCACAGGGTTGTCCTGGCTGATTTATACACTGAAAACTGACTTACTTTCACTGCTAGCTTAGACAGATAGACATGTTAATGTCTTGTTTCTAACCCCCGGCTTATTAGAATTACATGGTTCTAGAAAAAAAGATGTACGTAGAAAGAATTTTGGCTGAATTCTATTATTTGTAATGAGAAGACAGAGCAGTCAATCAGTGTGCATCACTTCACTTCCGTTTATAACTACACAGGAAAATCTCAGGTTAAAGCTATAGAATAATAAAATACTGAAATTTCATTGAAGTTGTGTTTTCATTCTATAAATTGAGTTATAACGTAAAGTCTGTACCTTGAGCAGATGCAGTTTTCCTCCTGAACTTCTTGTACAAATTAAAAAATGTTTTGTAAATAAGAAGCACTGCCTTTCTCCTTCTTTCTTCAAAGATAATGATCCTAGACGAACTTTACTAAGTTTTCCCCTCTCAACTGAAGGAACTTGAATAAGGGAACCTGATAATAAAGATGAAAAATTTACTGTGCTATAGTAATATTTAGTAGGCAGTGTTAATGCATTGAATGTTACGATATTAATTAATGCAACTTTTCATTCTAGTAAGTATCAATATACATCAGGATCTGTTTTAAGCACAAGTCGATCATCTTTTTTTGCACAAGTTCACTTTGTTTTTCATGATAAATAGATTCAAGCAAGTACAGTCTAGACTAATGCTTATGTACATGGCAGGATTAGATCTTGGGTAAATTCTTACACAATTTAAACACATTGATCAGAAAATTAAGCTGAACAGCAAACTGCACTTTTGACAGCGGCTAGACTTGCAAAAGATACATTACTTACAAGCCAAAGAGAGAGAGGATGAAAAGAACAGGTTTTGAAGGAAAAGAGCTTGTGTATGTGTGCCTGTGTGCAAGAGATGGAAATGAAGCATATTTCTTCCTCTTATCTTATACTGCATGATTCTCAGTGCTCCACAGCTCATCTAAAATGTGTTACCAGTAAAACACTTCTGAACTAAATTGAACCTGGTTATATAAGTCTGAATTTGTACTCTGCAGAACCCCAGACTGGGGACAGCTTTGCTTCTCTGCCGTTTCATACCTCAAAAACAGTCTCTGACCAACTTTTCCAGATTGATATCACCAAGTGTATCACTTCCAATTTTGGATCTGGAGTCAAATTTGGCAGTGAAGTGCAATTCCTCTGTATAGCAAAGGGAATGATTTTATGATACAACTTGCCTTTTACCAGACATGGCATCCAGGAGACCTCCTAATCTTATTCCCACACATATATCCTTACTATCACCCTTACACTCGCTCTCATCTTATTCCAACATTAGCTAGCTGATAGAGCTAAACCAGCAGGAAACTAATGCTACAAAGAAAGTAGCTGACTTAGGTCTCTGACATGTCTCACTGCAAGGTCAAAAAAGCACCAGTGATGATGCGAAGGAAGTAACAGCAGCAGAACAAGCATGAGGGGGTGGGTATTGGCCTGCTTCTTTCAGAGGCAACGAGATATTGGACTAGCATAGCTACATCAAAGCTCAAACTAGCAGCAGCATCTTGACACAATGCAAGCCTGAAAGAATTATCCATGAAATACTACATTAGTAATTCTCACTGTACATTGTAAAAAAAGCTCTCCTGTTCAAAGTTCACATACACAACCTCAAACTAATGAACAGAGAAATTAAGGTAACTGAGAAAGTTACTGTTTATCCACATTTTTCGACACCTAGCTCCCTCTATACATTTAGTTAGCCTTAAGTTACTCATATATTTGAAACTTATACTGTCTGGCATAGCAAAATATACATTTACAACAGTATAGTGTTCTTTGACAGCCAATTCACATTTAAACTAAATGTGTACAACATGATTTGTGTCACCGCAACAAAACAGTGGGGTGAAGTTCTACTCTAGAATTTTGCAAAGGTCTGGAACATTTTTAGGTTCACTCAAATTCTAACAAAACCCCATAAATTCTTATTGGTTGTTGTACATCTCCCCTGGACAAAACAGCCTACCTGCCTCAACTGTGAAAGACAGGAAGGAGATCGTTCCCATGTGTCGGAATCGTGACTTTTCTGTTACACTGATTGACCCCCAGCTCCCATTGCAAGGCCAAGGATTGTGTACAAAACAATTCCCAAGCAACTTCCCATCACAAAATTGTCAGTGTTAAGCCTGAAATTCTCTCTACACACATAGAGTAACAATATTCGACCTGTACATTTCATTTCTGTTTTGCTCCTTAGAATAACAGGAGTAATAATATATTCTATTATTATAGAATAATAGAATATATAGAATATAGAATATATAGAATAATATATATAGAATAACATATCTATAAATATGATACAGTTAGAGATGCAGCTTTGGAACTCACTTTTTTTTTTTTTTTATTTTCATTAGAATGTTTTCAGGAATACCGTATTATGCTCTGCTAAAATGGGCTGAAGGTTAAATGGTGTTCTTGTGTGGAGCTGAAATGTTATTGTTTAGTAAGGTAAACCAAAAGAAACTAGATTTTTTAAATACAGAGAAGAGAGACTGCAGTATGTCTCTTTGATACTCAATATTTAGAGAGAGAAACACATATATGTGCTGCAGGGCTGACATCAAGCAAGGACCTCATGCATTCCCATCAAGCTTTTGTGATTAATGAAACTGGGCATTTGCCCACCATGCATTCTACTACAGTTTCCCTGTTAAGGAAAAAAATGGTCACAATTGGCCAATGTACAGTTGCAATGAGCAATTTTAGAACATTCCTTAACAGTACAGTTTGGATGATCAGTGTAATCTCAGGAATTTTTATCCAGCTACAGACCTAAACACTTCCAGTACTTCAATACTGCCAGAACAATCACTCTATTAGCCTTTGTTCAATCCAAGAAATACAAAAGGTTCTACCTTTTAAAATATATATATATTTTAGCCTACATGTAACTGCCTGATTTACAAACTCAGTTTAGCTTTTGCTGTTCTGAAGGCCTTTTAATTTTACGGTAAGGATGGTCAAACACTGGAACAGGTTGCTCTCTCAGAGAGGCTGTGGAGTCTCCATCCTTGGAAACAGCCAAAACCCAGCTGGACATGGTACAGTGCAACCAGCTCCAGCTGATGCTGCTTTCAGCAGGTGAGATTGGACTGGATGATTTCCAGAAGCCCCTTCCAACCTCAACTATTCCATGATTTTGTAATTGTGGTATTTTTATCAGCAGAGGTAAATTCATAGCAGCTGATGGCAGGAACATCAGACAGAGTGTTTGGAGGCATCTAAAGGGCCTCCAGGTGCCCAGTTGTCTGGGTGTCAGACAATGTTGGATTGCAGATTGAGACTCCCTATGTTTCCTTTAGACTCTTAAACAAAATGTTCTTTAATTGTTTGTCATGACTTACAGCATGCCTGACAATAAAGTCTGTATCAAAGTAAGAGAGAGAGAAAAGGAGACCCCAAGAAACTTGAAGGGGAATCCACAATCTACATTGCAAAGCACTGTCAGAGATGATAGTTTCTATGGTCTCAACTTGTACAGGTCAACAGAAACAATCTCTTCTTAGGAAAGTATGAAACATATGGCAAAGTTGTAATTAACCTTCACAGAAAAAGCCTGAAAAAAGCTAAAGGCATTTCTCTCCTTTTTTAAGCTGAAAAGAAGTTTCCTGCACCCATCTACACGGATCAACACAAAGAAGAGGAGCCTAATTGAAATTAGAGGACATGGACATCACTGTCAAAGTGACCCTACTATCAGATGTGAAAGGCAAATGGGCTTGGTATTACTTCATCAGCTCTATTCAGATTTCTGCACTTAAACAAAATCACATGCAGTGGATGTTCCAAAAGATACAACTGTGATATAGCCTTCTGTAACATACAGTCTTGTCCACTGTCCTTTGACTGTATGCCCAGAAACAAACTTGAATTTAATTTACATAAATTATGGGTTTGACCTGAGTCTAACAATCCAACAGTAACCTCTTTCAGACTGATTCCCACAGAAAAAATAATACTGATGAAACACTGGGTACACAGACAAAATAATACCAGCCAATCTTAAAGGGAAAAAAACCAACAAATATATAAATTTGAAATCATAGAATCATAGAATCATTTAGGTGGTTGGAAAGGTTGGAAAAGACCTTTAAGATCATCAGTTCCAACCGTTAACCTAGCACTGCCAAGCCCACCACTAAACCATGTCCCTAAGCACCACACCTACCTGTCTTTTAAATACCTCCAGGGATGGGGATTCAACCACTTCCCTGGGGAAGTGTTGTAATCATATTGAAAAAAATTTCTAAAATTTAATTAAATTGCATGGTACAAGTCAATCTAGGAGAATCACACCCTTACAATTTTTTAGCTGCAGATGCAACACAACAGCTTTATCTTTTTCTCAAAGACATATTCATAGCTCTTTAAATACCTCAGTTATAACAAATGCACAGATTTAATGAAGAATCAAGTAATTTAATAGTGACCATTGTACAAAAACTCGTCGAAGTTATTATGGAAAGTTTCATAGTTAGTTTGGCCACATGACTACAGAAACATGACAGAATGGATTTTAAAATGTATACAAAGCCTATTAAATTACCAGCTGTGTATATGGCTCTATTTAAACACCAAATATTCTGTTGAGGCTATCTACAAAAGGTCACATGAAGGCATGTGCCTAAATTACATTCCTAACCTTTCCTAAACACATTTAACACTTTTCAGACATAAAGAAGCTTGTACCTAGTAAAAACCTACGCTACACATCTGTAGTTACTATATACAAGCCCACAAATTTGTTAGAAAAGATCCAGCAGTAAGTTATTTTATAAATGGGAGAAAAATAAGCTTCAGTTATGAAGTTTTCACATTTGCTGGTTTAACAGCAGCTGGGTAAACCCCACCAAACAAGAAGTGTAACCAGTTTGCAGTTCCTGGTAAAAAGTGACACTTACTTTAAATGGAAATGTTATCTTATTGTGATTTTGTGGAACTTAATACATCTGCTATACCTAAGCTTCAATAGAAAGAGTTTCCAAAACCACCAAGAATAGACAGAAAAGAATACAGTATGGCTCTTCCTCTCTTGTTTTGCTAACTGTTATATTAGAAGAAGTCCTACATTCCTGGCAGAACAGGCTGCCTTTTCTTGCTGAAGTGTTTTTTGTATCTATTGTGAACTTCTACTAAACCCCAAAACCACATCTCTCGAGGCAAAGTGAATATGTTCAGCTATTATATCTATGCTTGCACTATCAATTTGAGATGTTTCCAAAGCACCAAGAAAAACATGAACAACTGACAGCTGTTTTCTTTCCTAGCAATCACTTTACCACTGATAAAGCTTCAAGCTTCTCCTGCACTTTTGCCCAAATGTGGGTATCAGCTGGACTGCCACATTAACTGGCCAGGCAGCCCTGATCTCTGTGGAGCTGTAGGCAATTTCCGTCCCTTTGAAGACCACAGTCCAGGCAGCATGCACATTAGTGTCCCATGGGCATTTTACCGTTCATGTGCTGCTGTTTTTCGTGATTCCTGAGGAAAACAGCACAGAAGTGGTGTTCAACTACAGCACAAAATTAGTTGTCATCAGGGCATTTTGTGACTTACTTACCCTCCACAGACCATGAGTAGTCTTAGGATATTAGCTGTGCCCAGTGCAGTGACCTTCCCGAGGATGGCAACATGAACCCTGCTGGTTTTCATGCAATTTTTTCACGATTATGCAGATAGCTTTAAAGAAGAATGTCTTACCTTGGCGTATAAAAGTCTGGCTGGTATCTAGTAATATATCACAGCCTTCTACTATCATTCTTTCTATGGCTAGGTTCTTCCGGATGTTTTCTGTGTCACTCACTTCATCATGCATCACCCTGTAAGACACAATACAAAATGCACTCTCAATTCCCCGAAATGTATCTTGCACCTGTTGTGTCTATTTTCACTTGCACTTACACAGTGTAGACACAGAAGGTAGCTGATGTCCTTTGCCACCTGCTACAAGACAGATGTACACATGCAGTACATGATCACTCTTGAGCAAGTTTCTTGGCTTTTTTCCTTCCCTTTCAAATCATTCTTGCAATCATTTCAATTTTTCAGCAGTGGAATAAATTTTGCCAGACTTGTTTTTAGACTGCTCCTAAACACATCTGACAGATGCCACCAAGGTAAAAACCCTTCACATCTGATAGAATAGCACTTCTTGATCCTTAATAGACTAGGCTGCCACAGACATGGAAATGTTTCCTAGCATTCTGTGTTGGTTATTACACACGATAGAGTCCCTGCCTTTGACTTTATGTTCCCACTCTGTTCTGCTTCAGTTCACATCTGAATGTACCGTTCACTTCCCCCTTGCTTCCTCTAACAACCATAGCCTTCATGGCTCACTGCTTACTTCCTTCCATTTTTTTTTTCATAGGCATCCTCCTCTTACACAGAGAAATACAGTTTTTTCAAGGCTGAACACAACCCAGAAGTTTACATGGTGTTGTGATGTATAATATTTTCCTGAAATGGGACCGGACTGCACTTATCTGAAAGCTCCTCCTCTCTCAGAACTACATTAGAGGGATGGAAATGAATCACGAAGTTTTATATTTATGGTCTATACTGCTTGCCTTATGAGCAGAGAAGGATCAATCAGTCTCAGCCTCCAATTCTGAATGTTCAGTGACAAATTAGTTTGATCAGAAATGAACTCTGACTTATAAGATGCAGCCAAGTCAAAGCTGATTGATCTGCTTGTGCACATAACCCTGGCCACAGAAATCCTCTGCTTTGCTTGAGTGGAAAGGAAACATCACTTCTTTCTGCTTCAGATGGCCTCAGAACAGGGCAGAACTTGATGAACACTGCAGGAGTCAAACAGACATTTCTGTAAAAGATATTGTCTGCCCAGCTCTTTAAGAAGTCAGAGGTTCACGAGGTTGCACGTGACCTGACTCAGAAAGCTGCCTCTGTTACAGATACAGCGGGACAAAAAGGAAAAAATAATAAGCTCCAAATTAACAGGTAGCTTGCACGAAGAAGCCACTTTGTCTTAACAGAAAAAGAAAACTGACCAGCCAAGAGCATGCAATTAACAAAAGCTATAAAGTGATCCCTCTTTTACAACTAAATATTCTCCAAGTACATCTTTGGTGAATACTCCAGATGCTGAAGAATTATATCCTGGAGTTCATGCAGCATTTCTTCATTCACAGCGGACGACTCTGTTTCCCAGAGATAACAACCAAATTTCTTAGTAGGCTGAGGGAGGGAAACATCCGAAAATGGTCTGGGTGTTCAGGGAAGAGCTTAATTTTGCAGGTTTCTACAGGGAGCATCAGCTCTCAAAATACATCTTTAGTTCCTCTTTATCTGGCATTACTTGAAGCATATGTGAAAATCAGGTATTTCATTACTGCACATAAACTATAACTCAGATTAAGAACTTAGTGCTTTTCAAGACCCTGATTGATTCCTGTTGTCAAAGAGTATCGGAAATGTCCTTCGCCTCTAAACTGTGAAAAAAAATACATATTTCTTTATGTAAAGAAAATTGCTTTGCTTATAACCAAGGAGTAGGTGGTTCCTATAGCAACTCCTGTTCTCCCCTACCCAAAATACAAGGAGACACTTGTAGATTTATGTTAGTCAAAAAAAAAAAAAAAAATAGAAGAGCCAAAATATTAGGTTGGGGTGTTTTTGTTCTTTTTCATTATCTTTGTTTTGGTTTGGTTTGATCCTTTTCTTTAAAATAATTTTTTAAAAAAAGAACAAAACTAGACCAAAATAAAGAAAATAGATTTTTCATTTCAAAACCTTTGATTCAAGATTATCAAACATAAGATAGAAAAATCTCACCTTGAGAGTTCTTCTAGTTTAGATTTAGCAAATTCAAGGCTTTTTCGCTCAACATGTTCATGTGGTGTGTGAGCCAGAAGTTCATGAAGTGTTATAATATATCTAGGAATCTGAAAACAAATCAGGTATAAAATCAGTAAATCCTTAAAGGAATAATTCCAATACAGCTTTTTGTTAAATATTAGCCATTACCTTAGTCAGAAAAGTTTTGCATAGTCTTTTAAATTAATATCCCCAGCTCAATGATCACAGACACATTCTAAATATAACTACTGCCAAAAATGGTGAACTTCTGGGTGATAGAGACTGAGTATGCATATGTATGTTTTCAGCTTGAGGAAGCACAAGATCTATTTATTATATTTGAAGGAAAAGATCAGAGCAGAGGCAGCCACAAACATGACATTAAATTTCATTGTTTCATGCTGCTATCCAAGTGCCAATCGAGAAAACTTTCAGAACTTCCTGGGAGATCCATACATACCTTCCCTCAATTTTAATAAGATATGTGCATCTAAATTTCCTATGACTTTGAAAATGCCAGCTGACCTGCTTGCATTTAGATAAAATTCACATTGTGCTAATGGACATTGAAGAATGTGCAGTATTTGACTATTAAAGGCCACAGGCTAGCACAAGGACTCTGATCCATTTGTTATTACTTAAAGCAGTTTCAGGGCTTTTAAACAGAACCAAGTGATACTGCAGTATAACGTCTTTACAGAATAAAAGTTATTTAGGAGAAGGAGACATGTCTTCTTATTATGCTGAAGTGAAAAGTCATCAGCAATGACATCCTCCATCCTATATGAATAGGACTCTCTCTCTCTTTTCTAAGATCCCAAGACCTTGTGTCAGCTCAACCAAAAAATCCCCAAACTTTACAATATACAAGCTCAAAGCTAAAAAAAATGTATTGTTAGAGGTGCTAATGGTCCTTTAGGCTAAGATGAATAACTAGCACTAACACGAGTGTCACTCACACCCCTTCTTTTTTTTTTTTTTTTTTTTTTCCCCTTCTTGGTTTGCCAGTCACTTAACCAA